TAGTTTGCTCAAACTTAGGGTTTAAATATACCACCGTGACCTACTCGACGTCATGAACATCCCCAAATTTTTAGAAATTTTTTTGGACCCTTCACGTGCCCCCATGCGCCGGCAATGGCACGTCCAGACACGCCCCCACGGCCAATGCCGTCAGCTAGCCTCACGCTGTCAGGAATATTCCAAGAAATATTATGTTAAATGCTAACAGAAGTTAATAGCGTTACATGAAGCCGTCAGGAATATTCCGTCAACCTTGACGGAAAATTCCATCACCTTCTCCGGCAACCCTCGTCGTCGTCGCGCGTCTGCAACCTGATTTTTGCCGGATTTCTGGGAAATTTTCAAAGTTACACAACTTCTTCATTTTCAACCATTTTCGACCTACTTTATATGGATTTGAAGCTCATGAAGAGTAGAATCGCGTTATACTTGTTTGGAGTCCAAAAAGTGGACGGAGGTCGCTGGAAAATGCCTCGAAAGTTCCGGCCAAAAGTGAACTCCTCGAAACTCGGTTGTTTCGACGTCCAAACTTATTCAAAAATGTCCTAGAGGCCTTGGGGAGTTGTGGGAAGGCTTCCTTTACCTTCAAAACTCCTTAACTCGGCCTGAAATCTGATGAACTCAAATCACTGAGTTCGAACCTCACGAGTTCGACATTGAAAACTCGTCCATTATGGGTTTCAAGAACATGGTTGTGTTCGTGAGGATGAAAGGAGTACAATGGAGTGTTTTTTGGGTTCGACATGTGAGGTTTAGGGTTCGTTCAAGGGGTTTGCAGAGAAAGAGAGTATACGGGAGAGAGAGAGAGAGAGAGAGAGAGACAAAGTCTTTTTTTTTCTTTTTTTTTTTTCTGATTGGTTGCTGCAAAGAGGGAATGGAGATTGGTGGAGTGCATGGGATGGGCTAAATAGAAGGCTAGGGATAGGGTTTTAGATTTTGTACAGAAAGGAAATCGAAAATCTATCCGGAATAGTGTTTTCACACTGATAAAATCTATGTAGTCTCGTAATAACGTGAACAATTTATTTACTTAGACGATAAAATAAATAAGGAGGAAATAAACATGTCCACGTCGTTCGCCACTAAGGGCATAACCGTCAATACACATACTCGAGGAGAAATTACATAGGAAAATTAGGGACGGGTCGTCACACTTACCCTCGGAATGGTGGATTGTTACTTTTTGAAAAGAAAAAAAAAAACATTACAACCCATAAGAAACAAAAAAATTTATTATTACCGATTATTTGTACCATCATTCGTATATTTTTATAATAGAGATAGAATCATATGTGTTAGTCGACTTATCTCTATTAAAGAGATAATACAAAATAATAATAGGTTTTTTTATTAGCACCCTATATATTGTTGAACACACCCCACATAAATATGTATTATTAAATCACTCATGTATCTTAGCATGAAATGACTATTTAGCCCCAAAATAAATTTAAAAAAAAAATTGAATACACAAATTATTTACTAATATGAACCCTAACTCTAAATTGGTTGTCTAAACCCGAACCCTAAAATCCTAAAACCCCTAATTGACAAATACCCCCAAATTGATAGAAACATATAACTACTCCAAAACAAATTTTTTTATTTAAAAAAAAATTGAATAAATCCATTATAACATAAACAAATTTTTCTCTAAGTGGTAAGCTTGACAGTTGACACTACTTTCTTTTAAATTTTGTACAGTAAAAAGAATTGAACCCATTATAATCTTCCCATTATAATTTTGAAAAGAAAAAAAAATTCACCCATGTCCTATCATTCATTTTTGGGTCAAAATTTTGTGAGATTAACTTTAGAGGAGTAACAGAGAGGGATACAAATTTTGGATTTTTGCTCTACCAGTAAAATAAACCAACAATCGAATATTATGTAGTCCACCTCATAATTAGCATTTACATGTTTAGTGAGAGTCTTGAAATTTGGAGGTGCGGTGAGAACGAACAATGAGAGAATGTTGAATGTATGTGAAGAATGTGGGGTGTATGTAGAAAGTTTGGGGTGTGAGGGTAGTATATGAAAGTATGTGGGATGTACTAAGATAAATTTTGATTGAAAAAGATGCTGTGGGGTGTACTTAGTATGTGGAGTGTATTCAACAATATATGAAATGTTAATAAAACCCCAATAATAATACATAGTAAGTGTGACATCATTTTAAACAATGGAACTTTAACGAGAAGCTCATTTTAATGAAAAATCACATTTTTACACTAAAAAGTCAATCCTAGTATTATTCATTTTATCCTTTATTTTGTTCTTATTGTTAAAACTCAAATTTCCCACCTACTACTCTCTCTAGAAAGTGAGATTTAAGTGTGGGCCCACAGTTAACGCGTGGCAGCGCTTAGCTCAGTGCGTGCGTTAGAAGTAAAATTTTGCATCTCATTCCCTTGGCAAACCCACATACGAGACCAATTAGTCAACCAACCACCTGATAGCCCCGGAGATCTGAATTTGACGTCCGCGTGGGCGTGGGAATTTTTAACCCAAAAAGATGGAGTGCCAAGTTCTTTTTCTTTGTTATTTATTCATTAATCCTAAAACAGTGATAGCAATTTGATATCAAACATGTCGAAATCGGAACTTACAACATTTTACTTAAAAATGGAAGAAAAATGGAGGTAGAAAACTCGATATCAACCACGATACATCATGTGTTTTTGTATGTTTACGTAATTTACGGTCGGATTTAAGTTGATCCAAAGTCAACCCAATTTTGTGCATCAACAAGATATAAAGAAGTTCCAATTAGGAGTGTATCTTGTATACCTTGAAATTTTCTATATAGATTTACTTTCCTTCTATGGTTTTTAGGTTGTAACAAGAAAAGAGTAGAAAATGAGCTAAAAAGAAAAAATAATGAGATTAAAAGGCTTTAAAAATTCTATGCCGTTAGCATTGCCTGTGCAGATCACTTGACTTCGCGAAATAAAATGTACCGACTCAAGAAGAACCAGATGATGATTCATACATGCTTGGAAAGATACGGATGTGTATATTCTGTAGAATTTTACGATTCAATCATTTTTCTAGATGGTGTTATGGCAGTTTTAATACATGCAAGTCAAGCTACGAGCAAATTTAATGCTATCTACAATTTGGTATCAATGTGGCAGATTAAAGGAGGGATAAAATTTCTATTTAATAGGGATTTTACACAAATGAAAAAAAGACGATTTTGAGTGTACAAAAGTTCAGGAAGAAAATCAAATACAAGCCTAATAAAATAAGGACTTTGATTCCATTTATTGGGGTTTTGGCCCTATGTTTGTCATGACTCAAGAAAAGGAGTCAGGCCATCTCCAATCGAAGGAGGACCAGATGACTCATTTTAGCCCTCTGGCCCTCCAAGAAATTAATATTTTAATGAACAATGCAGGGTTATATTTCTTACCATCTCCAACCGAGGGCCAAAGGGTCATAGGGCCAAACATAGCCTTGTGACAAAAAATCATCTCCAACTGAGGGCCAAACATTGCCTTATGACAAAAAATCATCTGAGAGCCAAACATAATTTATTATTTAAATTTAAAAACTACAACAACTTAAATTTGAAAACTACAACAACTTTTAAATTTAAAAATTACAACTTATATTTAAAAACTACAACTTAAATTTAAAAACTACAACAACTTAAATTTAAAATCCATAATCAACATCATCTTCATCATCCGCCATTGTAGGAGTATAGTCGGAGGTAAACAATTGCTGCTGGATAATAAATTCCCTCTTTTTCCTATCAAAATAAGCCTTACTCATTGGAGTGTAATCCGAAGTGTTCCTTTGCATATTCTTATCATCCATCTCTTCTTATATTTGTTTGGCCCGTTCTTCATGCCTACGGTTCATTTCTTCTGCGGCAAAGACATTTTACTCCGTCATTAATCACAATGAGGCTGCCACTTCCTGTTGAGCGGCATAATCATCTTTTGCCTTACCTTTTTCCTTCAACCTTTGGGCCTTGTTTCGTCCCATAGCCCTAGGTATGGAACCTTCACCCATAACCCAAAGACGGATTTTCTATCCTTGTTTCTTGAATGGTAGGAGATCCATCTTCATCCCCATCTACATCTGAGGATTGAGTTCCAAATACCGGCGTAGGACATACTCTATGTTGAGGTGGATCTTCAAATAACACCCACCCTTTACAAATTTTTTAACAACCGTGAAATTGAAAGGGTTTCGAGTTGCCCTTCATATACAATTCCTCTGCTACCTAGAAAATATAATTACAAAAATTAAAAGAAATTAATTTATGAAATTAAATGTAATATAATTACAAAAATTAAAGGAAATTAATTTATGAAATTAAATGTAATATAATTAAATATTTAAAATAAATTGTGGAAACACTTATTTCGTCGTAGTAATTGGCACCGCTTTCATGTCTACTTATGACTGCTAACAATGCTTGATACCATTTATTCAAACTTGGATGAAGATGTTTCTTTCATCTTGAAGAACAACTCTCGTGGTTTCGAGTATTCGGTGGAGTGGTGCCTTCGTAGAACTAATAGTATTTTTTGGACACACGAGTCCAAATACTTTCACTTGTTTGAGAAATCCCCCTCACACTATCTTCCGAGACCCATTTATAAGCCTTGCAAAGAGCTTCATCTTCTTTTTGGGTCCTACCTTTCATTGCAGATGAGGCCATTTGAAAATTATTGAAAAAATTGAAGGAAAGATTATTGGAAGAAGTAAGAAAATAGAATGTGAAGAATTGAAATAGAATGATGGTATGGAATAGTGAAAATTATGTGACAAATGCTATGTTTTTCTCATAAACGAGATTTGACTTTATGTCCCCGTAATTGTATTCCTATTTTCTCTTAATAAGATTATGGGGATGAAGGTCCCGTTTGGTGGGTCGGCAGGAACCGGGCCTTAAAACTTAGATTGGCTTCCAAAAATACTTCAAGTCCATATAGCCCAATTCAATCCAATCCAATATTTCGACATATTTTTCATTAGTTTCAAACATTTCTCCTTCCCAATTTTCAGTTCCATCTCTCTCTCTCCCCCTCTCCTCTATCCCCATTTCAAATTTTCGATCTCTCTCTTTCTTTCTTCCCCAAGACATGGACAACCTTCGAACCTATAGAGACGAAGACGACGATGAAGACGAACAATCGAAACCCACAACCGCCGCCGCCGCAATCCCAACTGCCGAGCCCATCGAACCACCCGAACCCACCACCGACGACCCCGACACCGACACCCTAAACCCACCTTCCAACGACCCGCAAAACGGCAGTAAAACCGAAACCGAAGCCTCCGAATCTCTCTCCGAGTCCGTGAAATCCCAAGAAATCGAAATCGACATCGACATCGACATCGACAACGACGACGACGACCCGCCTCCCAAGAAGCAAAAGCAGCTCTCTTCCCTCACCACCGAGCCCTTTCCCGACCAAGATCAAACCCCACTGCCCCTGCCCATCTCCAACGGAATCGCTGTCGCCGCCGCCCCAACCGCCGCCAATTCGAAGAAATCGAAGAAGAAGAACAACAATGTGTGGGTCACTAAGTCGACCCGCAAGGGGAAAAAGAAGAGCAAGGCCAATAACAACAACCACAATGCCCCCGCGGACGACACCGTGTTGATCACTCCAGTCACGCGGTTCCCGGACAAAACTGACGACACTCCGGACATGACAATCTGCCTCTCCAAGGTGTACAAGGCCGAGAAAGTGGAGGTGAGTGAGGACCGAATGAGTGCCGGTAGCACAAAAGGGTACAGAATGGTTAGGGCCACCAGGGGAGTGGCTGAGGGGGCTTGGTATTTTGAAATAAAGGTGGTGAACTTGGGAGAGAGTGGTCACACAAGGCTTGGCTGGTCCACTGAGAAAGGGGACTTGCAGGCACCCGTCGGTTATGATGCGAATAGTTTTGGGTATAGGGACATTGATGGGAGTAAGGTGCATAAGGCTTTGAGGGAGAAGTATGGGGAGGAAGGGTACAAGGAAGGTGATGTTATTGGGTTTTATATAAATTTGCCTGATGGGGGCTCGTATGCCCCAAAGCCGCCCCATTTGGTTTGGTACAAGGGTCAGCGGTATGCTTGTGCCCCTGACGTGAAGGAGGATCCTCCGAAAGTAGTGCCTGGTGAGTGATTGTTTGGTTTTTGTGGTGTTGATGTTTTCAAGTGTTTATTTTCGGTGATTTTGTGGTTGTGGTTGTGTTTGGTCTGAAATTTATTGCAGAGCATTGTGTTTCTTGCATAGGCATTCTTGTTTCGTTTTATGAATGTGAATACAAATCCGCTTGCACAGTTCAACTGTTATGGCACTCTTTCCCTATGGTTCTAATTGGAATCATGAACGAGTTGAACTGAACAGATGTTGGGTTGATAGAAAATAGAATGAGTGTCTTTAGTAGTTCATAGAAGATAAACCTCCACTCAGCATAAAACAAAACATTCCTTGCATGAAGACTGACCGAATTACACCTATTCAGACTAAGAGATGATCAAAACAACTGAACTTGTGACTTTAGTCTTTATTTATCTCTGCACTATAACGTTTGTAGCATTAAACTGCACATTTGACTTATTGTTTCCGGTATCCAAGTTCAGGGGAACAACATTAGCCAAGAGAATGTACTATAATTATTAGTTCTTTTACTTGCGAGAGAGACTATAATTATAGTGAGGTTTGAGACATGTGATTGTAACATTTGCTTGTGCAGAAGAAAGCAAGAGATGGGAGAAATGATCTTTGTGCGTTTTAGCCAAACTAGGTACGAAGGGGTCGAAATGGTTTCCAGGGGATGGTATTATTGTTCCTATATTATTATTTAGTGAAACTAGTTATGAATCTTAATCTGTCGTCTCTCTTTCCCCTCTTTGTTCAACAAGTCATAGCATGAGTTAAAAACTTGGTATAAAGCTAGGTAATGGGAAAATTTTGGGAATGAGGAATCAGAATGATTAAATTGAAGAACTGACTCTGCAGTCTTGGGTTGAACTGTAATTCGTGAGTTTAAGGGGTATGTAGGCGTTGGTAGATTCCACGGCATGAGAATTATTCGAAGTTCATAATATACTTACAAGCCATGCAAACATTGACTCTTGGAATGTGATATCCAGTTACAATCTAATTAGAATAGTGAAAGATGTGTATTCTACTTCAATGAAACAGGAAATTGAATCTTTGTGGGACAGGACATTGAATCTATGTGTCAGGGCTTGCATAGTCTTAGCCGAGAACACCTGGACCTGATCCAGGCAACTAAACATGATTTAACTTAAATTTATAAAATTTAAAGACAATGGAAACCGTCAGCTATTTAAACCCGAAGACATCTGTATTTTCTTTTCCAAATGGCTAAAAGTAGGGAATTTGTGTGGGGCTTTTCCCAACCCATCTTAAAACAACTCCTCATTATGTATCCTGCAGTTATTATTGCCAGCCTGTATCAAGTAAAAATCCCAATTGGTTTTGATCTGAGTGAATATATTATTTTTGGCTTTGCCATGGTTGAAAAACGCTTCCTTCTTGCCAATTTGTAACCTAACCGTTCTTTTTTCCTGAGATTAAAAGGAAACTTCAGTTTGGTGTTCCCATCCAATTCCATTACCAGTCCTCAAGTTTGTTATTCAATTCATTGCCATTTGTATATTGTGTGCAATAGTAAGTTGCTTTAGGATCCAAGCATGCAATTGTACATGCCGCCTCTTCGACCAACTTGCTACTTCAATAATTTTTCTGGGTTTTAGGAGCATTTTTTTCAAACTTCTGTTCAACTAGAAAGGTTTCTATTCTGCTAATATAACCTACATTTATTTTCTTGGAAGTGTAACATTGGAGTGATTGTTGATCTGCTTTGCAGGAAGTGAGATATCATTTTTCAAAAATGGGTTATGTCAAGGAGTTGCTTTTAAGGATCTATATGGTGGACGTTACTATCCTACTGCTTCAATGTACACTCTTCCACATCAACCAAATTGTGTTGTCAAGTTCAACTTCGGCCCTGATTTTGAATTCTTTCCAGAAGACTTCAATGGACGTCTAGTGCCCCGGCCCATGTTTGAAGTTCCGTATCATGGGTTTGAAAACCGAGTTGAAAATGGAGTTTCTGATGAGAAGAAACAATAACCAGAAACCAGCACAATTCAACCATATTTCTGTTTCTGGAGTTTCCAATAGCCAAAATGAGAGAATGGAAAACCTTCATGGATTTAGGAGAAGCATATGAGTTTAACTTTCCTTTGTAATTTTAGTTGCTGCTAAAAGTACATCTTTAAACTGAACTGATTATCATTGTATTCTTGACCTTTGTCTGACAAGTTCTAATGGAAAACATAATGATATTGCATAGCAAGACAATGTCCCGATTGTTCTGTTTGATAAATATCTCTGTTCTTCGTGCTTGTGCATTTGCATCATGTAAGTCCATTGTAATTACTGTTATGATCTTTCAGATTCTAGATCCTTATGCATTGGTTTAATATATATATATTCTTTTCGGATTCTTACAGGCTCAAACGTAGCTGTTTCAGTAATTATACCTTGTCTATGGTTTTATTTATTCGTTTGGTCTATCTTTAGAAAGCTTGATCTCTGACTCCTGCTTCGGTTCTGAAATTGGTAACTGGTTAGTGCTAGTCATTGATCTTTTTGGTTGCTATGAGATGGAATATTTATCATGCTCTTATTGTGTTATCTTTTTGCAATTTTAGATCTAATTGGATATTTCCTTTCGTGACAGGAGGTTCGTTCGTTGAGCACTGAGCACTTACTTCAACTGTATTGCTGAGCGCTTACTTCAACTGTATTGCAGAGGCAAGTAAAATGATGGATTACATTCTTTGTTATACCTCCGTTTGGTCGTATCTCTTTTAGATTGAAGAGCTGTCGAGTTTGGTTTCATTTTTGGGAACTATCGATGGACTCTAAGCAGTTTCTCCTGAGCAATCATAGTCAAGTGTCATGTTGGAGAAACAAATTTCTGGTAACCTCGCTCCAAAACCCATCGTTGGTGTAGTTCTATGATTGTTTTTAAACTCTGAATGTCGAGGAAACTGCACATTTTGCTACAGAACAGGGGGATGCTTGTTTGTGGAGGGTATTCTGGTTTGAGATATGCAACATTAGTGGCTAGGTTTTCTTCCGTCATATTGACCTTGCTTAAGCTACTCCCGGGGCACATGATCAGATTGACGGATTCACGCTATCTTTCTCTCAATCTAAGATTTGGTTGAAGGTCCTTTTTAACAACGGTTTATGAGAAGCACATCCTAAGTTTTGCGATAGGCGACCCAAGGCTAGTCGTGAAGTATTTACCCCATGTTGATATAGGCTGTTAGAGCAGATGCAATGGATGCTTCACTTACAACCGCATGGGAAAAAAACCCAAAGCAACCGAATCTTGGTGCGGAGTCTGATCGTGGTGGCATGATGGTGGCTAAAGATCGGGGTGGCAATGGTTTGAATGGTGGTCACGGTGAAGGTGGAGACGATGGAGATATGAGAGGGTGGAGACGATGGAGATATGAGAAGGTGGAAACGATAGAGATATGAGAATGCCATGGTTATGGTTTCAATGGTGGCTGATATCACAAAGATCAAGATCTGATATGAATGCCGCTGCGTTTTGGGGTTCTCCTCTGTCATCGTCTTCGTGTTCACTATCGTAGTCTTCAGCAGAATCAACGATATTCAACTGTCATTGTTAAATGGCATCGACATTTGGTAGATATTGTTGATATGATATCAATGTTTTGTTGATATTGTTGATATGGTTCACATTGATATTTGGTTATTATATCGTCGTTCACTTCATTCGTATGTTAGAGTGCCTAGAACCCCCACAAATTACCTCCTGCATTATATAAGCTCCCTCTTTTCCTTTTAAAAGGCAAAGTTCAAATTGCCACTTAGTACTACGGTTTAGTAGTATTATTCTTTACTTGTAAGTGAGGTCTTACGTTCGATTCTTGTTAAAGTTGAATTTGAATCACATTATTGCTAGCTCATCGTGAGGCTTAGGGGTGGTTTGGGAGTGAGGTGCTTAAAAAAAAAGCACCAATGAAAAAAAGTTGTGAGGGTTTTAGGTGTTTGGTAAACTAAAAAAAAAGGGATTATTTTGGAAGTTGCTGTGAGAATAAGCTGAAATCAAAGGAAAAAGCTGAAGCTACTATTTGCAACTTTGGAATACTGGTTTTTTTTCAAAGCACACGGATCTACAGTGTTCCTTTAATGAAAAGACTCACTATGAGACTTTTTTTTTTCCAAAAGCATTTTTACAAAAAAGTTTACCAAACACTCTGCTGATTTATTTTACAGCTGTTTATTCTCATAGCACAGCCGCTTATTCTGCAGTTTTTTTTTCAAAGCACAGCAATATCAAACCAGCCTTTTGTCCACTCCCCCATCTCCTGAGAGTAAGTTCAAATTGACCCAACATGACCACCATGGATTGGATCAGCTTCTTTGGCGATGAGAAAACAGGTTAATGAATTCAAAGCTGCAATACCAGGGCATGTTGTTAGCAAGTATGTTCAAGAAATGGCAGTCTTGGTGGTTGCTGGTCAATCGGTGAGATGGAAGCGACCTGACTTGGGTTCGATCAAATTCAATTGCGATGGTGCATGGAATGCAAGTACAATGCATGGAGGAATTGGATGGGTGGCCAGAGACTTTGCTGGGCTTTTGCAGGTGGCGGGAGGCACGGGGAAACTGATGTTTTTAAGCTCGATTGCAGCGGAGGCTGCTGCAGTCAGAGCTGCGATGGGTGGCTGCTGTGAATCAGGGCTATACTAGTGTGGAAATGGAATCTCGTTCTAAGGTGGTAATTCAAATGCTAAACCGGGAAATTGATTGTGACGCGGATAATATTGAATGCTTAATTTTTGATATAGGGGGCTTGCTTCCAGGAGTCCAGATGTCAAGTTTGTCTTTGTGCCGACGAGGATGAAACATTCTAGCAGAAGATGTAAAACATTTCAATTCGTATTTAATAAATTCTCTCATTTGGACAAAAAAAATAAAGTTGACCCAACATGAGCGCAGAAGGCAATGGTCCCACAACTCATACGAGGCTAAAATAGCCCAGGGCCAAAATGGTCTTTTGATTGAAAACCAGCTGGGTCCATTTTCCTTGTGCTAGCATGAAGAGTAACGAACAAGATATCATAAATCTCCTCCTAATGCAAGCAGGAAATGTTGAATTAAATAAAATTAAGAAAAAAAAAAAAGGTTTAAATTCAAAATCCCAACCGACTCTGTCTATGCCTATATAAACCCAATGGCACCTGAAGCCTCTTCACATACTCGTTTCATAGCCGTCGTTTCTCAACTAATTAAGTTATTACTAAATTACTACTAACACGCATTATACAACACAACATTAACATCAAGTAATTCAAGTTATTAACTTATGGAGCAGTCAACAACTTCTACAGCAGCAGCTAGCAGCGAGGGCGGGGGAAAGAACCCGTTGATCCCAAATGGTTTCTCGGAGCTGGAAATGAACGCGGTAGAGCTTCTTGTACAACTGAGCGGATCATCAGCGTCAGCTGAGTACTCCGACTGCGATACAAACAGCGGCGGAGATGAATGCAATGGAAAGGGGGCCTCGTGCTGGAAATATAAAACGTTAGTCGCTGAAGGTGATGAGGAAGAGGAAGAGGAAGTGAGTTTCAGGCCGAGGAAGAAAAGGTTTCGATCAATTTCGGAGCTGTACGAGTTGACGGAGCTTATTAGTAATCTTATTCGTGCAAATAACAGAAAAAGGAAGAGGAGCGTGCATGCATAATTTAAATGTCATCTTGTTGATGTTGTTAGACTAATTTAACCTCGGCTCTTATATGTAAATGGTATTTATTCCAATCCAAATAAAAAGATAATTATTTAAATCATACATCTAAGCATTGCGTCCTTGTTTAGTTTTTTGAATGATACAAGTGATTAAAAGCATTTACTCGTATTTGGAGTTTTCGATTCCCCGTCTTCTCCTATCACTTGTGTAAAAATAGTTTTAACACTTTTTTCTTGACTTATCTACACGAAAAAGGAGAGGATGGGTTTAGCCTCACAGTGGACTAGCAAAAATATGATTTAAATTTGTCTTTGGATAAACATTTGAATAAAAAAAAAAAACACTCCACCGCTAGAGTAAAACAAGAAAGAAAGAAAAAACATTAGGCCCCTGCCTTTGGCGTTGAGATCGACGGCAACTTTCTTGATCTCTTTTTCTCCCCTTTTTTGTTTCTAGCTGTGGTCACTTTCTCATTCTATTGAGAGCCCTTCAATTCATGGTTGTGGTTGTGGTTGTAGTTTGTTCAATCTCGGATTCGAGAGTGGTTTAGATATGAAGGTGGTGGTGTATGTGGTTTGTGCACTTGCAAAATAGTCAGAGATTGGTATGGTGTTCTCCTCATGGAGCATGTATGATATAGTTCTCAGGCTTGCAATGTTTAGACCTTGTGACTAGCGTTTAGGGTTTAGGAGTAAGGGTCCTCCGTGATTGAAGATGTTGGATAAATATCAACAATCAATGATAATTTATATATGCTAATAAATAATAAATGCAAATAAATAAAGGAAAACTAATGAAAAGGGCTTGAAAACTTTGAGTTTTAATGATAAGGACAAAATAAAGGGTAAAGTGAACAGTACCAGGATTGACTTTTTAGTGTAAAAATGTGGTTTTTCGTTAAAGTAAACAGTACCGGGAGCTTTTCGTTAAAGTTCCCAATAAATAATTCAACGGAGTATGAACAAAAAGAAATAATATTAAACAAACAAACTGAAGATCGAGGCTTGCGTACTACAATATCCTTGAAACAGAATTTCGTCCCTACACTGTGCTTGTATTTCTACGGACGTCTGCTTTACCAGGATTCAACGATCTAAGTCAAGATTCTAGCATCGAAAAACTAGACTTCTGGCGAATTTCGTTGTGGTTCTCTCAGTAAGAAGGTTTGGGATTGTAGAGATGAATTTGATTTTTCTATGTTCTAAATGCCATGCAGATGAAGGTATATATTGTTACATCCCACATCGCCTAGGAGAGTGGATCTTGTAAGCGTTATATGTATATTCTCATCTCTACCCAGCACGAGGCATTTTGGGAGCTCACTGGCTTCGAGTTCCATCAAAACTCCGAAGTTAAGCGAGTTTGCGCGAGAGCAATCCCATGATTGGTGACCCATTGGGAAGTTCTCGTGTGAGTTCCCAGAACAAAACCGTGAGGGCGTGGTAGAGGCCTAAAGCGGATAATATCGTACTACGGCGGAGTTAAGCTCGGGATGTGACATATATAATTAAGTTATGCCTGTTCGCAACATGTATGTATATGGGATGCATCTTTTGGTAGACATCTTCTCAGAGGGGAGGAGTTCTTCTATCGCTTCAAACTTCATCTAAAAAGATGAGTTTGTTAAATTAAAAAATTAAATCCGAAATTAAATAATTAAAAATAACTAATTAATTAACGAATTTAATTATGAGAGCCCGGGTTCCATGGTCCAAGGTCCGTCTTTTGATAATTAATTATATATATTAATTATCAATTAATTAGCACACCCTAAAGTTCAAATCCAATGTTGAGCTCAATTTTTTTTTTCATGGTCCATCACTTCAATCACTTTCTAATAAGGACAAAACCTTATAAAGTAAGGGAACATTTTGGCGGTGACGATGTGTGACAATGTAGAATGATATTTCTACTCAAAATTTTTAACAAAAGAATCGTATTGTATTTTTAATGTGTTTCTAATTGTAGGGTTATGATGTTCTTTTGACATGTGGAGTCTTTTGAGTTGTTGTAAGAGGCAGGTTTAACATGTATGTTGTATGTATGCTTTTGACCTTTTTTTTATATAAGTTTCTTTCGATTAAAAAAAGCACTAATATTTAAAAAAAAGAGTTTATTTCAATAAAAAGGATTGCGCAGAAAGATAAACATACACACAATCACATGAAGATCAAGTAATTTACTAGGACGAGCAACCACCCAACAGGTTCACATTTTTTTTCTTCAAGGGGGATAACTGGTGGCAAGCCACGATTATCCACCCCTTCCAGGGCTCCGGAAGACTCACAGAGACATTTCAGCCTCCTCCTGCACAAGTCTGGCTTCCACACCAGCAGCCTCCAGTTTTTAGTATTAAGGAAGTCTTGTAATCTGCCATTTACCACTGGGTCACCAGCTCGTGGTTTCCAATAGGTGCATGAAGGAAATTTCTTGAAAGACATGTTCATTTGAGCAACATCTATGGCATGCAATTAACAATTAAAGGCAGAATCATGCTTGTATGCACTCAAAAACAAAACATTACTCATGAAATTCAAAGCCTGGTAGAAAGGTGAATCAAGACTCAACTCAAGAACAAAGTGAGTCGAGAGATTTGATATCTTTGTTGATTCCTCTTTGCATAAGCAAAGGCTAATCACCCAAGGAGAGGACCTTCATTCCTTGCTTCTTAGATCCATGGATTTCTTGGATGAGGATGGTTGAAAGGATTCTCCAAGTTTCCAAAATTGAGAACCTCTAATTTTTCCACACCAAGGAAGGACTTGAAGAAGAGATGAGTGACCTAGAGGAAGTAAGATTGCTAGCTAAAATCCTCTAGGGTGGCCGTCATCTTAGAGAGAAAGGGAGAGACATTGTGTTCTCATCTTTTTTTCTCTAAAAGAAACCCTAATGAAGAAAAGGCTATAAAGTCATATTTATACCTACCTTTATTGGAGTGGCAAACTTGTAATAAGTCCAAAACCCACTCATTTATCAATATGGCCGGCCATATGGTGTTATTGGGCTGTTTGGGCCTTTGTGAATATTTAGTCATTAAGTTGTCATACAACTTAAGTCAATGGGCTTGACGTTCGAAGCCCATTGGGCCTTGAGGCCCAAAACTAACCCGAGGTCTTTAAAGAACTTTATTCGTTTGATTAATTAACATA